ACCCTCCACCCCCCTTCTCCCTTTCTTTCCCCTCCGCGTGTGTGTGTGTGTGTGCCTGTGTGTGCACGTTTCAGTCAACCCCAATTACAACGGAGGGGAGCCCAAGAGGTCTCGCACTGCCTACACCAGACAGCAGGTCCTGGAGCTGGAGAAGGAGTTCCACTTCAACCGCTACCTGACCAGGAGGAGACGCATCGAGATCGCTCACACCCTCTGCCTCTCCGAGCGCCAGGTCAAGATCTGGTTCCAAAACAGGCGCATGAAGTGGAAGAAAGACCATAAACTGCCTAACACAAAGATGCGCTCCTCAAACCAGTCCACACTGAGCCAGCAGTCCAAAGCACAGACACAGGGCCACCCCCATCCGCTCGATGGGGCTACACCCAACGCAGCTGCGCTATAAATACGGTTAATAATTTTTTTTTTTTTTAATATATATATATATATTTACCTATCTATTGGGGTTTTCCAGCTGCCCCGTGGTGGAGGCTGGCCGTTTGGACCAAACAACTGTGTAAAATAAAACAGGAGCAGGAAAGGAAGACGAGACGTGCCCAGGAACGGGCACATGTTTAAACCAAAACCCGGACGATTGTCTACATTGTATATAGATAATGGTTCCATGCCCATCATTTTTTTTCTATTTATGGAAACGCTGTCTTGCCCTCGGTGTAAGAGAGGGCTGGATGCTGTCACGGACGAATTCTCTGTACCTAAGACGGACTCTCTTTTTCTTTCTTTTTTTTTTTTTTTTTTTTTTTTTTTCTATTTTAGAGAACACGTTAAAAATAAAAGACGGTTAAAACAAAGCAAAGACCTCGCGAGACACTTGTGTAAGGCATTGACTTGAATAGTGCTGTTTCGTGGCGTGTTCGTGGATTCCCGTGTGCGTGTGTGAGGGTGCACACGCGCGTATGCACACACACCAACACGGGAGAGAGAACGAACACGTCCACGGGAGGTTAAAGACTTATGAAAAATGTCCCCTTACGCTGTCGAAAGGAAAATGTTCTATGTATCAAAGGTAACTTAACTGGTTTTAAGTGTAGCCCCCGCAGTAGCTGTGATCTATTAGTTTTTCTCCACATTCCCTATTGCATTTATTTAAAGAAATATTGCTATAAAGGCTGTTGCTGTCTTCATATTTGGCACCGTCTAAATCGTTTGGGTCCATGTACAATTTGTGTAATTTTTGGTGTAATGTATCACAGTGCCAAATGCTGGTAATAAAGATTATTCTGTACAAAAGAATTAAAGGCTTGAAACACAAGTCCACTCATTGCTGTTTCATCCACCTTGTGCTTGGCGGGTGTTGGCACCAGGAATGGAAAACAACGGTTTAACGTATCGTTTTAACTTGGATTCGTCTGGTCAATATGGTAACGGTCGCATTAAATATGGCGAAAAAGGTCCTAATTGCTTGGCTGGGGAAAAAGAGCGCTGTAGGACGAGGAAAGGTCTTGTACCATGGCATAGGTGAGTGGTCTTCTCCTCGGCGGACTCCAGGCAGAAGCAGCCCGGCTCTCCATCGCCTTCCGTCCGACTCTTCTCAGCTGCGTTACAGAGAGACTGTGCTTCTGCTGGGAGCCAGTAAGCTCCCATGACGGGTTTTGCTGGAGGAGAAGTCACACATGCTCCCCATGATAACACTCTAAATCTTTAGGCAGTCGTGATTTATTCGTTCATTTTCGCCCGATTATGATTTCTCAGTTGGCTAGCACTTTTGAAGGGGGATACATGGGCGGTAACCTAAAGTTTCTCCAGCTGCCGTTTCTGTTTCCTTTTATTATTTTCTTTTTAAGACTGTTTCGAAATGTGTTGAGAAAGCCTCGGCAGAAACATGAATTTGGGTACGACTCAAGAGGTTGAGTTGCCCGAGGTTGTCGAAGCGACTGTGGGAAAAATGGGGTTCAAATGGTTCCAGTTCAGGCTGCGCATCTCGCTGCTTCCAGGCAGCTGGGGAGGGCAGGCAAAGCGGGGCTGCTGACGGGGAGCCTTGCTCAGGGCTTCCACAACAAGGAGCAACGCTGAGCCGGGTATGAAAAGCCATGGGAAGGAACTCAAGTGCTAGTAAATCTTCCAGGGAAGGCCCGAAGGCCAAGACTTATTTACTTACTGAATACATCCGAGAGGGATTTTTTGGAATGAAGGCTTCTATTTGCTTGGGTGAAGCCGCCAGCGCTTGGGTGCATCATCACCCCCTGGGTGAAGTAGCACCAGGCCCCAAGAGTATTGCCCTCATCCCTGCCTGGCCAAGGAACGTGGATTGTGCCCGAGAAAAAAAAATAATAAAAAAGTAAGGAGCCACTGGCAGAGCAGCTTCAGCTTCAGAGAGGCTGTAAATCCCCTCAGCAAACTGCTGTGGCCCAACCTGCCCAAGGAGCAGGCCTGGAAAGTGCTCTTCCACTCACATATTGCTGTTTACTAAATCCTGAATTGCCAGCCGCCGCCTTATAAAGGGGGAGGGAGGGGGGGGGGAAATATAGCTGTAAGTGAGGTAACTACTATCCGCAGGCATGTAACTCTCCGTTTTGTTTATTGCTTGAGAATCCCTCAATATGTTTAAAGCCAAAATTAGCACAAGCGAGCAAAATTCCAGCTGAAATGTATTAAGTGGCGATGCAGGATTTCTTTAGTGTGCAGCCTATGCGGATAAACCTGGTTTGCTCCCATTGTAAAGAGAAATGAAATCACGCTGCAAATAGCAATTTTAGCGAGAATCATTAATCACCTCCTACAATAAATACTTCTTTGTAATTCAACAGCGGTTCTGAAAGGCATTCTCTTGGAAAAGTCTGTGAAGACGCAAAGGATTTTCCTGGAAAAAAAAAAAAAAAAAAAAAAAAAAGTGGTCATGTGTAAAGACACAGCATCTTGGCTGTCTGCTAAAAAAATGTACACTCTCTTGCTGGAGATTGAACGGCGGACTGCAAAATACTCCATGGCAGAGTATCGTCGTTTAAGGTAATTTTTCCTTTTCCCCCCTTTTCTTCCCTCTCTGCCTGTGCTGGGAGCAGGGAGCTGCTCCCGGGCTGGGAGCCCTCTGCTCCCCGTCCCATACCGCCCGTCTTTACAATAACTTCGAAAAATTACATCGTCCAGTTTAAATTCTCGCATTGTGCTCCCTTTGCTAAGGCAACCGGGAGTTCACCGAGAGGACAAATTTTCTATCCCATTAATTGTTTTTTTTAGAGGAGCAGACTGACCCTTCAAACCCTTGACCTTTAAAGACAGTATTCTTTTTAATCCGGCACTTGGACCTAAATGTCTCTTCCCCCCACACCCCCCACACCCCCCA